TTTCGCCATTCAATATCGAAATAGAATTTAGTGGGTGAGGGAGAAGGATAGAGAAAGAGATAAAAGGTAGGAGGACAGTGCGTTGGGGTGGCAGACGGGGGTGGGGATCGAGGAGTCGGTTACCCCAAGCCCCGGTAAATCATTGCTTCGCCATGTTTAATGCAGCTTTTTCAATTGTTCTCGGGGTCACGTATTCACATCGCGATTCCTTCAACCGCCGATTTACGGCCCGAGGATGCGATAGTAACCAATGTCCGTGTCAATGCGCCGCGAAAGAGAGATCCTCTCCGTAATCTTCCGGATCTATTGGATCGCTTTATCCCCTCTTACTATGATATATACTTCGCACTTTGCGCTCGGCGGAGCTATTTACGCCCCGAAATTTCCCGGCTCGCTTTTACTTTTCTGGCACGAATCGATCGGCCGACCGGCGTCACAACAGAATCCTTTTTTGCGGCCGGTGCGCAGAAAATAATGTCGCGAGGACGCAATGGTGGCGACCAACGAGCTGGATGGAGAGGATTGCGCGAATTCCGCGGCTGCAAAGCGATTTATGGGAAACGAAGGCGGGCTATAAAATAACACTTCCCATTCAAATCGGCAAATTAATGGCCGCTTTCGTGGATTCTTTGTTTGGACCGCGCGACAATGGCGGCTTGCTGAGTTATTATCCTGAAATAGTGCGACAAAATTTCAGGAACGTCGGCCTTCGCAAATTTTCGTCCTCTTCTCTCTCTCTCTCTCTCTCTCTCTCTCTCTCTCTCTCTCTCTCTCTTTTCCCGATAGATAATTTTCTAGCCGGTGGAGAGGCGATGTTGCGGGGAAAGCCGATGACAAAAAAAGTTCAAGGAAGTGAAATTACACACTCGCGTGCGAAAAAATTCGAAAAATTCTCACAGAGATCCTCCTCGAATGTCCGGTGATTGTCGTACTGATAAAATCCGCAAAATTCCAGATTGCGGGGCTATGATCCCGGATTCCGGCGAAATCCCAGATTGGCCCGCTACAACATGGTGGATTCTACATTTGCAGGTGCGAATTAAATTGACATTGCACTTTTGGAACGCCTGGCCCGAATTGATCGGCTTGCCTAGGCTTCGAAACTATTATCTAGTTTAGATACTTAAGTCCTCGCGGAAAGTTACTCCTCGCGAGCTTTAATCTCTCTAAGCACGAGGTGATTATAAAGTTTCTTATTAAGTTTCGGTGTAGCACACTGCCACACGCATACTCGAGCCGCCATTGCGATACAACGGGTGAAAAACTTTGCCGGTATATGTAACCCCGGCTATATGTAACCCCCGTCCTCTCCATGCTAAGAGAAGAAAATGCGAAAGTGCTCCCCATATTATTAGAACGCATTTCCCACTCTCTTGAAACGTTGTTCGGGTGAAAAAGGTGCGTGTTTGAACAATGGAGGGAATTTGAACAATTCGCGTGTCGTATTTCATACACAGCACGAGTGAGTTCGCGCTCATTACTTTATTCGAAATTATTCTGAATTCATACCGAAACTATCTTCATTTCGCAGCGATTTTTTCAAATTTGCTCTTCTTAGTTTAAGTTGCTTTATTTCCATTTGCCGAAGGTTATATTGTATAAATTAAATATACTTTTTTTACGTAACAATAAAAAAGGCTCGAATCACTTCAAACTATATTGAATCCGTGCCGAAATTATTTCCATTTCACAGCTGTTTTTCAAATTCAGCTTTACGTTATTTTATTTTCAATTTCCGAATGCTATATTATATAAACATGCAGTTTGTGACATACCAATAAAAAGCGTCGTATCTTGTCCCTTTGACTCCTTTGTTATTTTATTATTCTTCAATTATTACTCAGAATCCCGTACCATTATATTACACCTTTCGACTCTTCATTATTCAGAAACCATAGAGTAATAACCGCTTCTTTGAGAGACAAATGAAAAGCCACGACTGTGGTTCCCCTAACACGCGCATCACTCTGATATCAATGTACTCATCCTACATACTTCGCCGCACATTTATCTGACGTTAAAGAGGGTCCTGCTTGATGTTCCATATTAGGATTGATGCGAGCTTTCACTCGCGGGAAATATGGCAGAAGCTTGCGCCGATGAGGAATCGCGATGAAAGGCGGACGAAGAATCGACGCGGATTTCTGCGGCTACATCCGTTATGCAGAAGAAACGACAAAAGAGGCCGTAGCACGTGCAAAAGTACTCGCCATCTTTCAACCGGCTTCCGAGAAATCACGAGATAATTGGCTGAATTAACGAGGTCACGTGCGCAAAGTGAGGATTTCGTAAAATACTATCATAACGGAGAAAGGAGAGAGATAGGGGGTGCGTATCGTTTCTATGGGAATGAATTTTCCGTCGGGAGACGCCTCGGTATTACGAAGTAGCGGCGCGAGCCGCGCGATATTAAGATCCAAATTGCAAAATTTATTGCTCCGTGGGAGCGTTGAAATTTACAGGGCCCGATGCAGCGTATTCTGAAATTCAAACTACGTCTTAAAATCACAGTTTTACGTTAATTCCCCACCGAAAGAGAGCTGTTAACTTCCGTGGGAAGCTGCCGCGCACGCCGCCTCAGCGCCCTTTCACGAGCACAAAGTGGCAAAGGCACGGTGTTTGAATGCGCGTTCTTTGCGCGAGGCCGGGTTACCCATCGCGTGTTGTCTGAAATCGCAACTGCGTTTTAAAATCCCGGGTTACGTTGATTCGCGGAAAAGGTAAATCGTTAACCCCAGCCGCGGCCGCCGCCACCGCCGGGAGCGGTGGTATCTTCCCTTTCACGATCACAAAGAGCAAATATGGCGCTTGGACGTGGTACTTTGCGCGAAATGGATATCCATCGCGTGTTGTAATTGGAGGGAAGTTGCATTTTGCCGATGCGTTCGCTGAAGGCGATGTAAAATGGGGTCAGTGTAGGGCAACTTGACTCGATATCAAACGCTCCGTATAATTGTTACGCTGATTACAAGTTTACAGAAAGAATAAAAGAGAGATATCGAATATGTATATATCTGCGTTCATACACACATGTATCTTTCACGTTATGATTTTTAAAAGTAAATTGAAGAGATAATAGAGGATAGGAGAGGAGAAGGAGTGAGAGAAAAAGAGAGAATGTCTGGAAAATAAACTGCGCTCAATGCGAGATTATCTGTCGACGGATGGATGCGTTTATTGAATCCCCTTTCGCGGAAAATTGTGTACCGATAATAGGAATTTATCCTTCAAATCCCTTTGCGTTTGATTTCCGTCCAAACTGAAATTTAATCTACACGGTATGATTACTATTTAGACGCGCGCCGAGGTGCGTCGGTGCTTTTTAAAGCGAACAAATAATAGTGTTCATCTTTTTCTCTTGGTTATATATATTCGCTCGCTCACACACACACACACACTCTCAGTGGCGCTCGACGCGTGCGGTCGATGAACGCGGCGATATTCTTTGCCAAAAACCTGAAAGTTGTCTTTCTTTATCAAAATCCGATTGCGAGCGTGCAAATGTTTTTACTTTGATCGAACGTCTCGTTCAGAGTATCGGTATTTAAATTACTCAAATTATCAGTTTCTAAATAACTCACATTGCAATATCATCGGGTTGATACGATCGTTTCGTTTTCTAGTCAGTTTTTCGCTTGAAAATCCCAGAATTTCCATCAGCGCGGGATCACCGAAGAGATATATCGTAGATATATCAGAGAATATCATAACGTTTATTTATTTCCAAAAATAAATAAACGTTACGACATTTCAGTTTAGTTTTCGCAGTTCGGGTAAATATTCGATTTCGTTCCCAAGTCAGCACCGCGTCTTTCATGGACTTGTCGCCGACGTTTCGTGAACATTTCAATTCACTTCTTCGGTGTAAGGAACGGCCCGAGCTGAATGAATAAATGTTATATGTACAGTGCCGTGCATTAATGTTGTCGTCCCATTCAATAATGATATCGGGAACTCCGAATTAGATGCATCATTTCTAAATATTCGTGTATCATGACTACTGCTTTCAACGTTGCCATCCAGTCACCGGAACAGAAAAGTAAAATGGTGACTGCTTCTTGGCAAAAAGAGACAAAAAATGACCTCTCAGACATTAAAATAATGGCCAAAAGTGGGGCTATTTAAGCAAAAAAATAACACATAGACTAGTATTCATAGTCAGATCTTGTATTTAAGTTCGTCTTAAGTTCCGTCGCCAATGAAATGAGCCGTACGGTATCTGAAGATGAACTTAAGTCGATCTTAAATATAAGATCCGTCTATGAATACCGGTCTTATTCTTACCATCCCAGATTTATCCTTGAATAACTTAACATATAGTTCCTTTCATAGTTCGGTTTAAAAGTTCAACAAGAAAAGACCAAGGATATGAACGATACAATATAGACACGCTTTCGGAGCAGTTTTATTAAATGAAATAAATATTACATTTCATTTCATTAAATAAACATATTCATTCAATAAAAATATTTATTAAATAAAAAATATATTTCAATCTTTGAAAGATATGTATGTTATCTTTCAATTTCATATCTGTGGAACGCTTACAATTTAACGGCAGCTCAGGAAAAAAGTGACAATAGCGATCCACCTCGGAAGATAGTCATCATTCATGACGCGCGAATATTCAGAAACGACTGATTGAAAATATCACTGCGGAAAGTGAGAATTAGCTCCCACGGCTAAAAATTAATTTCCACAGCTGAAACCTAACTCTTTAGGTAAAAATTAGCTGTCCACATAATACAAGTGAACTACAGTTTTAGCCGATTCTTTTTATCCCTGTGCTAAATCTGACGAATTAACTTTCAATTGTATCATTTAGACAGCCAATTTCTTTTTCCTGAGTGTGCTCAGAGAATGGGACAGCATTAATGCACAACATCGTACATTTTGATTAGAGAAACATCCGCATCAGCCCGATGCTCAGAGATTCCCCCGGGAAAGCTCGTCAGTCTCGCTGAAATCGGTCCGGCGCGAGGAAAAGAGGAGCGCGTTACCTTGGGCCGGCGCGTAAATGTTGAGGTACAGGCAGTCCTCGCTCTGGTTCCTGAGGTAAGGCAACAGCCTCTTGAGGTACTCCGCTCTACCCTTGGGCATCCTGTCGCTGAGCTCGGGCAGCTTCTGCGGGCAGACCGGTCCGAACTTGTCGGCGACCTTCACGCCGTGCCACAGGGCGCCGCTGACGGGCGGCATGAAGCGCAACGAGCCAATCGGCGGCGAGGCGTAGGGCACGCCGCGGAACACCTCGACGCCCTCGAGGTATCGATCGAGGGTAACGATCACGCCTGACAGCTCGCCGTACTTAGTCCGGACGATCCTCGAGCTCAGCTGGGCGCTGGTGATCGCCAGGAGTAAGCCGAGCAGCGCCAGGATCGACGACGACGACGTCATCTTGATGCGGTCGCCTTCGGCGTCACCCACCCCTCCGGCCGCGATCACTTCTTCTTCGCCGCTCCGACGCCTCTCATACCGCCTTCCTCGTCTTCCGCCGCGAGAACCACTTCCGCTTTAACCGCCGCCGGAGGCGCGGACGCGCGCGAGTCGGTCCATCCCGCGGTTCTCGGGGGCCGCTTCGCCGCCGGGATACATCAATCTCCTCGGGAGGGCGAAGAGTCCGATGAAGCTTGGACTTTTCCTCAAGCACACAGTGCAACTCGAGCCGGCGCTCCCGGGGTCGGAAGCGGGGCTTGACAGGGTTGCTTGTTCAACTTCGAACCTTCCTCCGGCGAGGACGATAATCGTGATCTTCCAATGGTCCTTGGCGATTCCGGTGCGCTCGGGAATCGCTGTCGTCTCTTCGGCTCGCGAAGCGGAGAACCGACGGATTTTCCCTCTCTCGGGTGTGCCGATCTCGAGGAATCGCCACAGCCCTGTTCCAGGAATTTCCAGAGAAACACACGACCGCGGATCGGCTGCTTAATCGTCTAACTCGACTCGGCCATTGATCCGAGGAAGACGGCGAGTTAATAGAGCGAGAAGCATCCCGACGAGTCGGCGGCTTCCAACGATCCGGAAGAGTCGCAGAGATCGCAATTGTCCCGTTCTAGATCCTCTTCTTCGCCGCGTAATTGGAGATCTGATTATGATTATTGAAGAAGTTTAGACACTTCGCCGATACGCCGGCGACGACGGAGTACATCCTTATTACAAACATTACATTGTCCTCTTTTCAACCGTAATTACCACCAGCTCTACGCCAACTTCGAGTTGCGAGCGTTAATGATCTTCGCGTGTCTGCTGCCTCATCTCCTCGCTCTAACGAACAATAAAGGCTCTCTCTCTCTCTCTCTCTCTCTTCCTTCCTGATCCTCGTAAGTCTACTATTCAACGTCTAATCCGAAAACTAGTTATTTCTACACCGTCACGCAGGACAACTTCGCACTCTTCCGCGGGAAACTGCGGACGCGCCGGATATGAATTTCCAGCTGGCTCCTCTTTCTTGGAATTTCGACCAAGCGTTGCGTTCGGCTTCCGCTTTCCTCCGCTTCTCCGTTCGTCGACGACGCGCCGGAGGCTTCACGCGTGTCTTATCGCTCAGACGAAGACGATCTCGTTCCTGATGGCGTGCTTAATGTGTCGAAAAAGATAAAACGCGCCGGCCTTGATCACGCCGAGGAGAAAGCCACCCTTCGGATGTTTGGCCGTTCGTTTCATCCTGAAGACGAGCGGTGAAAGCGTGAGAGAAAAATAGAGAAAGAGAGAGAGAGAGGGAGAGACGGAGAAAATAATCTCTGCGCTCAGGCTGTCACTGCAGATTTCAGTGGACGGATCGCAGCGTATCCGGCTGTCATATCTCGCAGATACACGTCGCACCGCTGCCTCGACGAAGTTAAACGGAACATTCGTCGGCGCGATTCCTTCTGCGAGAGCCGATTCGCGCTGAGCGGAGGGACCGACCGGGCCTTCAGCTTCTGATTCTTCTAAAGAGGTACAAAATATGGCGCGCGAAGGTATTCTTCGCGTGGAGAATCCCGAGACGCTCGGCGAAACACGGCGATACGTTGGAAATCCCTTATTTGCCTCGGTTGATCGATGGCTCGATGTATACGCGCGAAGCCACGCGAGGTGTCGTTGAAATAAAAATAGCGGCCGGAGGGGAGGGAGGGGGGACCGAGGGAAGCCTCCTGGCGCTGAAGAAAGCGTGTCACTCTCGCAGGGAAGCCCTCCGCGAGATACCTCGCCGGCGAACGCAAACCCTTCCCGGAAGTGCGGCGCTATTCCCAGCTAAGTCAACAGCTTCAACTTTCGATTGATTTAATTGGGTTAAAATCGCACCGCTGCTGATCAGCGAGAGAGAGAGAGAGAGAGAGAAAGAGAAAGCCGCAGCTTCCTTAAACACTCGTAGACAAAAACAAATTAGAAGGATCTGTGTCGGTTACTCCGTCGAGATAGCACTTTCCTGATTCATCACTGAGCCGCAGCATATCACCGATGGACCGGCACAACACTGGATGAAGGAACCCGCACGCGAGAACGCGCGCGCGATCATCATCATCGTTCCTCCGGCGCGGCGAATCGAGCACTATCGCGGGGGGGTTTTTCCCTTGCGTACACAGCCCTCCCAGGGAAAGAAAGATATCGGCTGTGTCTCACCCTCCGACCTACCCCCCCGACTCTGGCGTCGGTAGGTTGTCCGACGGTATTTCTTCAAACTTCGGCCAGCCGAATCGGGCAAATCGTTTCCCGATAACGCGCCGTTTTATCGAACGTGCCGAAGTAATTTCAAGTTTCGTCCGGCAATTGGACGACCTTCCCGCCCGGCGAGCTCGCGACCACCTCCGGAATGAACGAAAACGGCGCACCGAAAAATCCCCGAGGGAGAGAGGACGAGCGAGAGTGAAAGACGCGGCCACCCCCGCGTTTCTTCTCTCCGCGAGCTACCCCCGTCGCGACTACCACCCTCTCCGGCACTGCACCGACGACGTCGACCTGAGCATCGCGACGAGTCTCGCGCGGCGAGGTCAGGCTCTATACGGGCACAGTATTACCGCGAAAGGGTGAGAGCGCTGCTGGGACGGCCCGGACGGTACGCGAGGAAAACCAACCCGATGTAGCCGTCACTTCGACCCCCGACAGACTGGCGTCAGGCGACGACGCTCGCCGTCGGCTGCGCATGCGCCGCATAAACGCTCCGGCACCCGGCACGGGACATGGGCGGAAGTGCACCCCGTCGTGGTCGATACGGCAGGAGGAATCGATCCCAAGGACGATCGCACCGACCGGCGAGAGTTCTTGGTTCGCGTCCGGGATCGCGAAAGTTGTACCTTCCAGTTGGTTCAAGCCGACAACACCTTTTGTTTCGACCGTCACCTCGCCTGCTATTCATCGGCGCCGGTGGGTCTTCTCTTGTTGCGTTTCAAGGAAGCTGAGGGATTATGCGATAAGCGAAATGGAGCGATCGAATGCTTTCCCATGCCTCGCCAATCCGTAATTGACTTCCTTCATTACGTGGGCTGCACTGCGACGCGGAAAGATGATCGCTCTCGTTTCGGGTGACGCCATGTAGTGCATGGATTTTTAGCAGGTCTCGCTGGCTCGATTATTTCTCGATTCTGTCTATTTTGTTCCAGACATGTGTTTACGCAATTTAACTCAAGTAACGTTAAGACATCCTAAGACATCTTTTGGACAGTGAGACATTTGAAGGACTTAAAGGATGTTTATTAGTTTTTCTCATTCATTATATAATAACTTCAATTCAATTTCACGTTATATATCCAATAAAGTAAATATTATTATTATTATATAGAACGAATATTGCATTCTGCCGAAGTGCTCGAAACAGCTATCCCGATAAGTTTAAAGAACGGCACGTGTAAATCATTTCATCAGCTTTGAAGTAACAGCGATCCGAACAAACAATTAGCTGTGAAAAATGCACGGACCAATGAGTTTGTCAGTTGTTCAATTCTCGGCGAATCAGTGATTATTAAATCAACGTAGAATGTAAATGTCAGCCGATAAACAAGGACGTACAATTAGTTAGCGGGATTTATTTGACAAGTTCGTTTGCGCGCATAAATTGCGCAATTTTGCAGCTTGCAGTAAAGAATCCCCCCCCCCCCCNGGAAAATGCAGTCACCTGGCGAAATAAAGGAACTTTTTAACGAGAATTTCCGGAAAACGAGCGCAGCTGCGCGAAGAGTTTCGCCTGCGCAGAATTCCGCTCCGCGATGCACTCAACATCTCCTTCGCACTTTACCGCATAGTTACGTTCGTTAACAAATTCTTTCCCGGCGAAACTACGCAAATGATCCCGCTGGTGTAATCCGCTCCCTCCCTCTCCCCGCCGCCGCTGCCGGAAAGTCTAACGTATGCTTTCAGTATTATGTCATCTTTTGATGCGCAACGCGTCATCCCTTTGATATAGTGTTATCCCTCAGTATGCTGTTTATTCAGCTTCGGTAAGCCCGCTGCTTTTTACTTGTATTACACACGCGTGTGGAATGCCGGAAAAATGCCGACGCGAGCGTGGTGCTTCAGATACCGCGAATCATCTATCACTTTGCGCTGACAAATGACAACGTTCTTCCTTGGCATTTTGACTGAGAAATCGATCGGTGCAGAATTGCTTAGCGATCCTGCAGGCAAAGCGCTTTCTCTCTCTCTCTCTCTCTCTCTCTTCGGCGCGACGTGTTATTTTATGCGCGACTTTTTGTACACCAAACGCCCCTCGACGGTCTTCCACTTTCCGGTCGCGAAAAGTCCAATTATCCGGACCGCCTTTTCCGCGGTGAAAAATCAGGAGCAACTTTCCCGCTCGGACGGATACGAGGAATAATTGGACAGAGAAGTGACTGAGGAAGGGGGAGAGAGTAGGGGCGGTTAAATATTTGCAAAGTCAACGCGAGGGGCGTCGCACCACCCTCCGAGGGGGTGGAAATTGGCTGCCTCCGGCCGCAGAGACGTCGAGCGGAAATCCACGCCGAGAACGTCCCCTCGTTTGCGACACGAAGAGATGCAACCTTACCAGGAGTCGCTCGTGCAAGAATTCGAGGACGCCGCTGAAGCCACCGCGCAACAATCCTCCGAGGCTTCGAAGATGCTAAGACCTTGAGAGTCGGGGGATCCGGTACCGAAAATATCGAGGTCAAAGGTTGACATTTTGTAAATCACGGATACACAAAGGACCTGAGAATCCTTCACCGACTTAAGAATTTGACTTGAAAAATTCGCGAGAGGGAATACGGGAGAAAGGGAGTAGTGGCGGTCACCTAAGCGGAAATTTTTATAAAACTGATAAGAAATGTAACGATGTAAATGATTCACGATTTGTTTTATGAAATGGAAACCTAGATATGTGCTCTTCACTACAGACTGTTGCAAAATATTCTGTCAAAAATAGATATCAGAGAGATAAATGAGAAAGCGAAAATGAGATTTGACCGGGATTATTCTTCCTTTGAAGTAATGCCGGTTAGCGATGTATCCTGTATGTTTACAGTGTATAAAAGAGACACACATTTTACTGAAAATATCAAACACGTTTATTTATTCGGGAAGAGATATGACAGAAGTTTAACGTCTAATATATTAGTCAATTATTTATTCAATCACATCCGTCATAATAACAGAACTCGAGGTATTTCAAACGGTGCAATCCTTGTGTGCACAAAGTCCGCAAATTATGCAGCGCAACACCACATTTCATCATCTCTCTCAAATTCTCCACAAAGAGAAAATAACTCTTAATCACGATCATTCCAGCGCTGATCGATCGACACTATCTAAATCACATGTTTTCACAAATAGGTTAGCCACGTTGTAACGATCCATCAATTCAGAACACCAATAGTTCCACTGTATGTTATTGGATTGTAAGAAAAGTAATGTATTTCTAGCTCAAAATTGGAGGAACTTTATTTATATTTAAGAACAACTTCAATTAGTCACGTAACGGCCGTGGTTTTCTATAATCTTTCGCCATCTTTCAGGCAGCTGCATAATTCCTCGCACATTGAACTCGGGCGTTTTCTCGACGAAGAACTGCTGAAGATGGTTTTTACAGTCCTCCAAAGAAATGAACATTTTATCATTAAGGAAGTTCTGCAAGGGTACTGAACAAGTAGTAATTCGAAGGAATAATATCTGGTGAATATGTTGGGTGCGGTAAAACATCCCAGCCAAGTTGCGATATTTTTTTTTTATGGTTAAAGAAACATGAAACCTGACGTAGTCTTGATGAAATAAAATATTTCTATTGACCGGTTCTGGGCGTTTTTCTATAATAGTTTCCTTTAGTAACTCTGCAATTTCCCGTGTCGTGTACCGTTGATTATTCTCGATTAAAGTCTTGATTTGTTCGTCATCAGCAGCAGCCGATCGACCAGACCGCCCCTCATCTTCGAGTGTCGTATCACCAGCACAAAACTCCGTAAACCATCTCTAGCACATACGTTCTGTTACGGCATCCTCTCTATACACAGTACATATTTTTTTTCGTTTGCGTTGAGTTTTTCCCTTTACGGAAGTAAAACAGTATCAAACAACGAAAATATAACTTGTTTTGCTCCATTTTTTTCTCGATCTCAACTGAAGACAAACGCTTCTATATATATTCTCCATACACTAAATGACGTTTAGAGGTATCAGTTATTAGAATAGCATGCACTTACGTCATCTAGATTGAAATTTCTTTTCAGTAAAACACACTAAAATTACCTGTAGGGAAAATACGACATTACTTTCTTTCCAAACCGGTAGAAAGTTTGAAGGACATTGCAGAAAATAGTGCAATAATTTTGCATAAAGAAATATACTGACTTACCAAGCTTCTTGAATAATTCTTATATCATAAAACTACGAAACAAACTTTTTACAATAGCTGAACCGTGGACAATGCTAAGATAGCAGTATTTTGTCTAATGCATCCTTCAGGTTTTTATGCGGGCAAGAGAGAGATATATGTAAATCATATTAGCTGATCCATTACCGAATCCCGGAATCCATTATGGAACACAGCATAGTTGGTTACAGTCAATAGTACTATTAACCTTGTAACTAAGAGAGATATTCTCGGAATTTAATGGAACATCCACGATTCCGCAAAGTAACAATTTACTGGGATAAATTTCCGCGCGCGCAAACGATTTGTTTGACAAGCGTATAGGCGCTTTTTCTCGTCCTAATATTTGCCAAGGGCGTGAAGATCCTGATATTCTAAAATGCAGGAGGCTTCGAAAATCCTACTTACGGTTACTTCTCCGCGAATACCGGAAATTTTCGGGCGAAAATATCCACAGAACTCGATTTGCTTAGTAAAAATCCAAAAGGAAGCGAGAAGGTGTCCCCGTCGCGGTGATGTCCTCTCTTATCGATCCCGAGGGACGTATTAATCACAAAAACACTGGTGTCGTGACACGACACGGGAATCGCCCGAGCGGCGCGCAGCGGATATGACCGAGATTTTTCCGCGGTAAAATAAAAGGAAACGTGTGAGGAAAATGAGATCTCTTAGCGCGGGGTGGCGGGGGAGCTCTTTTAGAAAGGACTCGAGACAAGGGTCGGAAAGCCGACAGGGTGTGACGGGTGGAGAAATTCGTGCCCGGACTGTCGAGCATTCAAATCCAAGAAATCGATGCCGCTTTTCGTGCCGCGGAACGGCGAATCCTGTGAGCGCGAGTCGGTGAGTGTGAAAACCGGGAGTCCTGGGGAAGAGAGAACGAGTGTCTCGATCCTACAATTCTGCCCCGCCACCCTCCCACACGGCCGGGACGTTACACATAAATTTTGGAATCGGCAGAGGCGAAAGTTCGGCTCCGCAAACAGCGGAGTAACCCATGAGAGAGCGAGATTCATCGTCGATTACAGTCATTTTTCTCGATAATGGCAGTTATCGGCTCGGCTAAATTGATGATCTATCAATTTTCCGTGATTGCGTATCTCAACATTTGCGTGAAGTATGAAGACATAGAGGAATGGTCGGGTAATAGGCATACCACTGATTTCTGGCCTGTTAAATGTCGCAATTTAGAAGATAGCAGTGAAATTATTTGCTGAACTCCTGAGCTAACCTGCAAAGCGGTAATCTACTTCGAGATCGTGCGCAGTA